TAGATAGTTGGTATATTTATTTATGTGATCTTATAAACTGATCTTCTTAAGCTGACGCGAGGTTGGTACAGATCTTCGTTGTCGTCGTCGTTGTTTTTGATGTTATTGATCGATGGCTGAGTTCCGCACGTAACATCACGGTGAGTGGCCTTCCTGTTCAATATGGCGTCTATTTGAAAGTTTGATCTTCATTAACAATTTAACCTTCTTTTCCACCGAATAATAAAAAGTATTCTAACATAAAGTACGTCCAGGCTCTGAGGAAGGCGAAGTAGCCGAAACGTCAGCCATCGATCAATAACATCAAAAACAACGACAACGACAACGAAGATCTGTACCAACCTCGTGTCAGTTTAAGAAGATCAGTTTATAAGATCACATAAATAAATATAAATACACAACTTTTTCATCAACCCCTTACCGTACCCATAGGAAAAGGGGTTCATCAAGGCGGCACAATATCGTCAAAACTGATTAGTGCCGCTCGGCAGTGGATAATGAAGTCACTCGACTGAGAGGAGAAAGGCATATGTATTGATAGAAAATTCCTATCAAATCCTCGGTTGACGAATAACATCACCACCCTTCCGAGAAGCAGAGACGATGCTCAAAGAACTCAACGAAGAAGGAAAAAGGAATGGACTGCGCATAAATAGGACAAAGATCAGTTCACGAAAAATTCATGGTGGGAAGGCGAGCAGATCAAAGTGCATGGTTTTATCACCACAGAGATCACCTCGTAGGTGTTTCTTGGGCGTTAAATCAACCTGGAGAACAACATGAGAGAGGAATTAGACAAAAAGAGAAGGGCAGCATTTGGAGTCGTAGTGGGGCTTCTCAAAGAAACCACCAACCAGCTAGCGGATACAATTCCTTGAGCTCATCTTTTAAATTCAATGGCCCTCCTGGCGCTCTGTTATAAAGCGAAAACGTCTGCTGATATTTCAACCACGTTATTAATGTTGAGCGCAACCCACAGAACGGTTGAACGATGTTTTTTGAAACTTGGTTGACTCTCACAACAGCTAGCCCGGAATTCGCAGCTCAACCCTTCGAAACCTGATCCATCTTCGATATCTAGGAGGATAAACATTGATAGCGAAGGACGGTTGATCAGTTCATATAATCGGAAGAGTATATAATAGATTGAGGAAAAGAACATGGAGTGGACTCCAGGAGAATGCAATCATCTTCTTGGAACACAACCCAAACGATGGGAGGAGGTATTCGTGGCTAATATCAACCATCCGAATTCCCAGATGGAGACGGTTTTATGATTGCACAATGTGCCTCGCGGACGTCACTGTGTTCAAAAAGCAGACCACCAGCATAGACAACAGTTAGAGGAAGTGAACTGAGCTCAAAAAAGTTTGGTGCTATTTTATGATCGTCGAGGAATGAAAACCCAATATGGTGGGGTAGAACCAACGCCTTTTTTGCGTTGAACGGTATCTCTTTCACTGCTTTACCCTTTTCCACAGGTTCCGCATTTCGTACTACTTTTGAATATGAGGACATTGTGTGTTATAAAATTTTAAGTATTAGCACACACTTCGCTTACATTGAATGGTTTCACTTAACGATCCAAAAGTGAAATACAACCACAACGTTGCTGAGATATTTGCAAAACTCTGGACCGCAGGTGTCTATGGTGGGGAACGAAAGCGCTATTGTCCTTTCCGGGGAGTAACGCGCTCACCACCACACCATGCGGGTCCTTCGTTTCGCTTGTCTCTCAGCTATTTCCATCGATCTTTGCCGCAGCAATCACCCGTCAGCGGGATTGATCTGGGGCGCCCAAATCGGTATAAAACCCAGTTAAGCTGCGGCTGTAGTTGAAATCGCAATGCATGGTGTGGTGGTGAGCGCGTTACTCCACGGAAAGGACAATAGCGCGTTCGTTCCCCACCATAGACACCTGCGGTCCAGAGTTTGGCAAATATCTCAGCAACGTTGTGGTTGTATTTCGCTTAGTACCCTGCCGCGAAATTATAGTAGGCAGAAAATAAAAAGGTATAACATTGTGATCCAAAAGTGGTTTTTCAAACACTATCGCGTTGAGTGACACCTATAGCAGTCATAATGGTTTTGTAAGAGTGACCGGTATGACATCCATGGGTTACATGTTTGTCTGGTAGTCCATTTTAACACACAGAACTGTTTTTCTAAATTTCTTGTCATTAGATGATAATGTGAGGATGAACACCACATCGAGAGGATGAACAACGGTGGGCCAACGACTCCGATTATCTGATGAAGACGAAGACATCGAAATGTTGGCCGAATATACATCTTTGCCAACCTTGTGTTAGCTTAACAATCCAAGAAGGTATTGATGATTACTACAGAGGTTAAATAACGATGGGTTTGAAAAGAATTGTCAAGAACAATCGGGCACTTATGTTTTCATTCTGACACTTCACAACACTCATCGGTCAGAGATCGACCATTTCCAAACTAGATTCCCAGTAAGATTAAAGCTTAACCAGAGCCGTTGTCGCCTAACTCCTTACTCAAGTACTAATAATATCCCTTTTTCTTTAAGTAGCGATTCATTATTCATTGATTCGATGGGACAATCTCATCGTAAACTGTCATTACTCATTCATTATCTAACTGTATTGAAGATTTGAAGGACACAAATAGAAGATCGATTTATGGATTATCGATTCCATGGAACAATCTAATCGCAATTCTCCATATTCTTGTTGAGCAAACATGAGGTGTTATCCTATTTCTTTGCTTACGCACAACCTGACGTTGCGGCGGATTTCGCTTTCTTCAGACTCTGGAAAGGTGAAGTTGACCGCAACCTACCCATCCAAAACATTGAAATCTTGGTTTAGCATATTCTCTGTTTGGTTATGGAAGTGTTTGACTGGTTAGATAGCGGTCAACTTGAGCTTTCCAGGCTCTAAGGAAGGCGAAATCGGCCGAAAGGTCGGCTTGTTCTTGAATGAAGAATAAAACAACACCTCGTGTTTGTTCAACAAGAATACAAAGAATTTCTAAGACGAATATAACTTCAATGATGCTGAGATATTTGCAAAACTCCAGACCGCAGGTGTATGCGGTGGGGAACGAACGCGCTATTGTCCCTTCCGGGGAGTAGCGCGTTCACCCAGTTAAGCTGAGGCCGCCGATTTGGGCCCCCCAGATCAATTTCGCTGACGGGTGATTGCTGATGGCAAAAGATCGAAAGAACTTGCTGAGAGACAGGCGAAACGAAGGACCCGCGTGGTGTGGTGGTGAACGCGCTACTCCCCGTAAAGGACAATAGCGCGTTCGTTCCCCACCGCATACACCTGCGGTCCGGAGTTTTGCAAATATCTTGTCATCATTGAAGTTATATTTCACAATGTATACCCTGCCGTTAAAAAGAGTAGGCAGTAAATAATAAGTTGAAATTCTAAGACGAATATTCCTTAATTTGATAATCTAAGCCTGGACGATTTCTGTCCTATCGTTGTCATCCAATTTAAGTAACTGTTACTTTGGAGCAATGGGTTGAACCAAGGAGACTTCCGGCCGTACTAAAGAGAACTGTTGTTGTGATCGAGCGCCCAGCTGAGAGAGAAAGAGAGAGAGGTATTGATTTTTTTTTCCAGCTAGTAAACAATGCGAATGTTCCTTATCTTACATAGTTTGTTATATTTATGCTTTATATCCTAAAAAGAAACATTACCTGTTACTACTACTTCCTACAGATGGAATTATTTGTTCATCTAGTCATCATTTTATTCCATTCCTTTCATTCATTTCTTCATTTCATTTCATTTGCTCATCTAGTAGCCATCATTTAGCCTTCATCAGTTTTATACTGGCTGATAAGCGAAGGATTCTTTAGTTATTCTCCTTCTTTGGCATAAGGCGGGTTCAAATTTGGAGACCAAAGAACTTCAGGTTAGGTTGAAACCAAAGAACTTCGAGTTAGGTTAACTTCAGGTGAAGGTTAACTGTAGGGCACTAGTTCTCGGATTTTCTTTGATTACAGAAGAATATTGGTGGAAAAATCCTACGAAAACGTCGAGAAAGCTGAGGTATTTGGTCCTTTTCATTTGTTTTCTTCTTTTTCTTTTCATTTTTCCTGTCTTTATCCCTGTTCAATATCATTTTTGATCTTACCTATTGTTTTGACATGAATTCCCTACTGTATATCCAATGTCCTATCGAAATTACAAGTCATTTTTCGCATATTTCATTATTTCTTTAGTCCTCATGTTAAGAACAAAGTTCGGGTTTAGTTTTCCTAACAACTAAACTTTAATGGTTTTTTCTTGTTTAGATTCGAAATATTTACAATCTGTCTATTTACCATTACTTACATAGATACTTGGACGGCCCCTCTTCACTGGTTGTGCGGGCCCCAGCATGATTTCCTTTTTCTGGGAGTTCTGCTGGTTTAGCCATTGTGGTTCCCTGGAGTCTCGAGGTCGGTTTGACCAAAGTCTGCCCCAGGTCTCCACCACCACAGGCAGTCGCAGCCCTTATGGATCAGAGGGAGATTTACCACCGTGCGACTTTGATACCAGGACGGTGGTGGACCCTGGTATTGGTTTACTCTTGGTTGGGCTTCCTAGTGAAAACGCCGGATTCCTTCTCAGTTTGGAGACCTGGTGGGGGCATGAATCCCGCTTTACATCGTGGGCCGACACCCAGGAACAACTCTCACCTACGATGAGGCGGTAAACCATTGGAAGGGTTAGCTATTATCCATAGCATGATGTCGACTTATTCCATCTTTATCCCTTCACTTCCCACTGATCTATTGAAAACACCTTCTTCTTTCTTGGCTTACTATATCTTCGCTTGCTTTCAATATGTGCAAAACATGGTTTTCATTACTCAGCTCGTCGCGTTTAGCTCTTCTTTTCGATGTAAGTTGAATAGAAATATTTTGCGAGTGGAGAGATGCTGACGCTTCAACTCTTCTACCGTCTTTTTTAAATGTAAGTATGCATTTTACCAATAAAGTTAACTAAAAATAAATCTTTAGAGCGATGCGGTGGCTAATCCTACTGCTGTTGACGGTGGGAAGTCGGGCCGAAGAGTGGGATGCCTACAACTATCCCAACCCTACTGCAGGCCAATTCATGGAGTGTAACATGAAGACAACATCTAATATCTGTGATCCGGATGGTGTTCTTTCCGTACAAGCACGTTATCGCCTCGATCATGACTTGAAACAACTGGAGAGCAGAACCAGACAGGTGAGTTATGAACTCTCGAATAGGTTAGAACTATCACTTGCCGCCCCGTTGATCGTCAAATGACTCGAGCAAGCGCCAGTAAACTTTGCCTTTCTTCCTGAGTAGCCAAGTGTAAAGAGCTTAGAACTAAGGGTATAGAAAATGTATCTAACTTAATTTTGAGCATACATAACTTTGAACAACTACATAGTGAGTGGTTCTAATGGCTAAATACCACTGAGAGCGAGCTAAAAGTAGTTAGCCAAGACATCGGCTCAGAAATTCACAGCGCTATCGTCGGATTCTCTGAAATCGCGAGGTGTCGTGTTGAATCTTAGAGGTTAGGCTCGGCAGTCCATGGGCTTCAGTCGTCGTACCTAGCGACAGTAGACGTTCGCACTATGTCACAGCATAGCAGTGCTGACTAACTGTTGTATACACTTAGCCAGGGAAAAGTTTCGTGACTTTTTACTTGGGCTCGGTATTCTCAATTCCAATACAATAATTTTCAGACCCAGCTTCGGTAGTAAAATAATAAACATGTGTTTAAATTGTTGAGCTTACACGAGGCTGATTAACAGATTCAGCTATTGCTTCGATGTCTTCGTCTTTATCGAAGCCAATGATCCGAGTCAATGGTCCACATTTGTTCGTCTTCTCCATGTAGCGTCGGTGCTCTATTGATGAAGATCCTACTCTATACGACGACGAAGACACCACATCGAGAAGGTGAACAACTGTGGACCCTTTCGACTGGAATCATTGGCCCTGATGAAGGTGAAGACGTTGAAGCGTTAACCGAATAAATCTATTTATCATCCTCGTGTAAGCTCAACAGCTCCAATACAGTATTTCGTAAATTGCGAAGACTATTTTGTTTTATCTTGAGACTTTTGACTGGGTGCTTGTTTTCTGGTCCACTCAAAGTTTAACGGAGTATTCAAGTCTTTTAGGACCATGGACGAACATTCTGTGAGAAGAAAGGCGTGACGGCAGCCATGGCAGTGGCTAGGCATGTCAAAGGAGGCTCAACAGAGGTGCTTTATAACATTACAAGCTCTGAGGTTCTATCTACTTTTATTTATTTATTTATTTACCTATTGGACTGTTGCGTATGGCGAAATGGTCGGAGACGCCCTGCAATACACACATGAGATCGATCCCTGTGTCTGTAGCTCACCAAGTCTTCCATCCCTCAGGGGTCGCCAAATTAATACCAGACTTGTCTGGGTTGCACTGCCTCGATACATCGGTAGGCCACCGTGAGTCTTTGTAAAGGCCAGATATTCCTTAAATGATCTCTAATGGAACTTAATGAAGTCTAATGTATGGCGCATCCCTCAGGATTGATAAGAGTCGAGAACTTTATTTTTTATAGCTCTATCTCTTTTTAATCTATTTAACTTAAATTTGACTATGTAGCACTGCCTAAAATGAGCTTTGTATATCTCAGTGTTACTTCTATGTTTTTTTCGTCGAGTTTCTTACTTGGCACGTTATAAGGATCCCTTGGGCTAGAGCTGGGTACGAAAAACTGTCTTCCGTTTGATATTCCGTGTGTGTTGTAGCAACAATTTAGGGCTACAGTAAACTTTCTCTACTCACTTCTTTCCGTTCTTAGGCAGTAAAAGCCATGGCGAACGACATGCTCAGAAAATGGACACTTGACCAGCAATGCCAGAAAGCCGTTGTTTTCGTAGTATGTTTATTCTCTGATATTATTGGCTTCAATTCTTAATGCCGACACATATGAGCTGATAGTGTTTTGAAGTACGGTGATGCTGTGATATTTGTAAAACTCTGGACCATAGGTGTTTGAGATGGTGATCGAACGCGCTTTTACCCTTTCCGGGGACTAACGCGTTCACCACCACACCATCTTCATTTTACCTCTCTCTCAGCTAGTTTTCTATCTACCAACGCTGTCAGCAATCACCCATCAGCGGGATATAAAGAAGGTTGGTATTGTTAAGGTTTCCACGGACGATATGGTGTTCTGGGTTGCTCGTGATGATAAGGTGCCCGTGTATGCTGACGAGTTCAATGAGATTTTCAAACAGCAGGTATGGACTGTTTTGAATTCCTAACTTGTGATAAAAGCATATAAAGAGTAATATACTGTTAACATGGTGCCGTGAAGGCTTTACCTCATTTTTTTCTTTGTTTAATACGTTTATAACCTCTTTTTCATCAACGTCTGTACTACTTCTCTTAGGTTATTCGTGCTGATCTTGGGTTTAGTATGAAAAGAAGACGTAGTCTTGGTATTTTCTTCCACTCAATGGTTTTTATTTCTTATCCCATTCTATTGCTAACGTTAAAGTCTTGTTATAATGGGGATTTGGAAACGTTTTGTTTTCTTTGAATTGACGTGAAAAAACTGGCGCTTTTTAGAAATCCCTATTTCAACAGAGCAATTATCAACAGGCACTAACCAATATTATGCAAAAGACATGGTTGGTTGCACTTTTTGTTTTTTTGAAATATAATCATATCTGAAATATAACATATCAATCGCAACTTTTTTTTAGTAGGGTTGAACTATAGAGTGAAAGCCTATTTGGGATTGGTGTTATGTACGCTGTACGTCTTTAATACCTTTGGTTGACACCGATTCAGGGAAAAAGCTCTGTCTAAGCAAGGATCACCTAGAACTAGTGGAGGTGGCGGTCCATCTGGTCCTGGACCAGGTTTCGGAGACAATTCTGGTGGAATGGGTGGTGGCTATAAAGGACCAGGAGGTTGGCTTTTCAACTCATAGATATGTTTTTAAGGACTTCACCACGACACCATATGTTTTCTTATGAATTTCTCGATCACTAGCAGTTTATTTCTTCACGAAATTGCTTGAAGTGGTTACTGGTTACAACGCCCAAACTAATTATGTCTATTTTGTTGTTCTATCAAGTGAAGTATGGCGTTGATGAGGCTTTCTTGGTGTACGCATTTGGATTTTCCTAACTTGTATCCGAATTGGTTATCAGATTCCTCAATATTATTTTTTTCAAGGTTCTGGCTTCAAAATGCCATCAATACCAGGATGGTTCTGGGCGCTTCTGTTTCTAGTTATTGTCCCACTTGTGTGTATGTGCATCTGTTGTTATTGCTGCTGTTGTCGTGGGAAAGGTGGAGCCAGTGCGAGAGCTCAAGATGGTGAGAATGTTATCTCTAATGTTATTTTATCGTTCTTCATCCTATTTCTGCGACTTTGTGTCCAAATCAATCCGTTTTTTTTTCTTCTTTTGTTGCTTTTTCTAAAAAGTACAAGAACTCGTTCTTCTAATGTGCTTGTTTTATCTTTTAATTTCCGCAAAAGTGGTTTTTGGTTACTACTGTATCATGTTAGATTCAAAATGCTGTCAAAGTGTGGGATGAAGTTAGTTGAACGAGCGGCAGCACTGAAAAAGTTGCTCAGTAAATCATTTGTTAATATTTTCTATAATGTTTTGAGGTGTATGTCGAGTTGAGGAACTTAACGGATATTGTTTTTAGGCGGTATGGGAGGTGGAGGAATGGGTGGCGGTGGTCGTTCTGGTGGTGGTGGTTCTATGTTCAGAAACATTGCCAGTAGTGCAGGTGGAGCTGGCATAGGGTCGTTGCTTGGAAATATTCTGTCTGGACGACGTGAGTTTATTTTTTATTATTTATGTAACCTAACAGTATGATGGAGAGTGACTTTACAAAAGATTTAGTATGTATATTAGTTAAACAAACATCGAAGAAATGTTTCAGGAGGAGGAGGTGCTATGGGAGGCGGAGGAATGAGAATGGGTGGAGGATATGATGGAGGAGGTTACCAAGGTTGTTTTGAATAGCTCTAATTAAGAAATGTAATTGAAAAATGTAAAGTTGTTCTTTGCGTTAATAGGTAGAAAATATATAAGTAGACGGACAGTTAGTAGGTATTGTTAAACTTGTCATTGCTGTGTTTAATCGACAATGATCAAAAGATTCTGGACAGATCAAACAAAATAATTGTTAGGCCATTCATACCACTAATGCACACCAGATTCTCACGTTGAACTTCTCCTCATTATTGGTGTTGTCAACTAAGGGAAATCGTTAGTAGGCTAGTAAAAAATGGAATAATTTCAAAAGTTAAGTATGAAGAACATCCATTTGCAGGTGGTGGTGCCTATCCAGCCGCCCCTGGTGTGGTTTATGACGACAACGGTGGGAGAGGTGGTGGTGGACTGTACCCCTCGAAGGCCGTCAAAGATGAGGGTGGTGGAGGCAGTTGGGCCTAGGTCCCTTACCTAATTCGACATTGTTATTCGGATTTTTCTTTCCCATTGAGTCTTTTTCTGTTGACGAGAGCTTATCGCGCCATTGAATATTGCCTCCATATGCGAGCACCCTCAAGTAATGCTTATGGACTTGTGAAGATTTTCAAGTAAGAATTATGTAAGTTTACAATCTATCCATTAAAAGCGAAGTATCTGGGAGAAAATCGCAGGAGTCATCAATACCACTTTATATTCATAACTGGTTCTGCTAGTAGTTACTGTAGCGAACCAACTGGCAGCGTGTGATTAATTAATTACCTTGGAAAGAATGAAACAAAATCATGGAGAAACTTTCACAGGTGTTCATCAAGTTCGGAAGTGAACTATTTTTCAAACGTTTCAATAGAGGTAAGATAGCTGTATTCAGCTATAACGTCCAACTTCTCAGTATTAACGAATGACAGCTATTTGTTCCTCTCTGTGCTTTCTATTACGGTGGGAGGGAATAGCTCTCGACTATGTCTATGTGCGAGTTATATACTTAGCATCAAAAATAGCTTGTAGATACTTTACTTCTCTAACGTTCTTTTATGTCTATATGGCTCTGGCAAACCATTCCATATAATGGTTTTGGCTCATCAATGACCAGGAATATCTAGGGCTTTCAGAATTTCTTTTTCAGCTTGTCACTTTGTAACCCCAACATTCTGAATGGTCTTCATTGCACAAACTTGTTCGCTTTTTTGTTCGCGTGTACATAATAGTCGCTTTGCTCTGCTATTTTTGAAATAGCTGCATACTTTCTACCCTACAGAACTAATTCTATGTCATATTTTCTAGTCTGATCATGTAGCGTGTAAAACGCTTCCTGATAAAGGTTTTCTAGTAGCTGAAAATTATCTTTAAAAGTAAGGAACGGAATGATAAGTTTTATTTTATTCACTAAGTAACCCGCAGACTCTAAAGAGAACTATTTGTTTTACAAAAATCATTTCGCGTTTTTACATGGACGAAGTTTTGTTGGATCAAAGTCGGCTGCGATTTCAACCTGAATTAGTTTAATTAGATGCTTTTGAGAGATTACAAAACTGTAAGTTTTTGAACACTTCGGGTGTTAGATTTAACTCCCGGCCCCTGTATTCATGTCATAACCTATGTGGTCGCTGTCATCATATAAGACTTCGGTCACACGTTTACAATTGACTAAGACATTAACGTTGTAGTGGTGTAAGCTATCGAAGAACTTTAAAGATTCAACATGATACCACTTGTTCATAAATTCATGAGGATTTGCACTAGATGGAATTACTTCCGTAATCTCAATTTTCACTTCACCTTTATGATGTACGTAGATTTCAACGCCTTTGTTGAACCTTACAGTTAGAATCGCTTCAATAAAGACACTTATTGGTCCGAGTATGCCAACGATGTTTTCACAACGACAGTAATCCAAGCACCGTTCTGGACCACTCTTCCATGGTTCTTTTGTCCGTAACTTAGGTACATTCAGATATTGTAAGAAGATTACCTTTCTAGAAGTACTTTGTAACATAATCTTTAGTTGGTTTCTCATCATCAACCACTTAGCTAGTCCTTTACAAAGAGCCAAAGCCTGGTGCTTTAATTTCAACAGGAAATATTGGTTATATGAAAAGTGCGAAGGCCTAAGATTGCAGAAGATTTGAAACGTAAACGAAGTATCCCAGTAGTCACGCATAGAACACAAAAGCATAGCGAAGAAATATGTCACGATCTTCACACAAAATTCTAAAAAGACAGTAAACAAGATTCTGGAAATATTTTAGACGAATTCCGAAAGCTCAAAGGTAAACCGCAAGTTATTCTGCTTTGTAATCACGCCTGATCTCGGCCCGGGTCTCACGCTGGTATTACCACAAACAAACACATTTCTTACTCCGTGTGATCTCTATTCGGGTGGTATTCATCAATAAGTGGAATCCTTATAAGAAAAAAATGACTTTTAAAGAAGCTGTCCACATGTGGTTAGGTATCGTGCTTCTTCTTTTAGGGTCATGAAAGTATTTGGTTGAACAAGTTGCGTATCAGCGTTACTCTTTCTAGACTAGAAGGAGCCGAAATATCCCACCTCCAAACCACTAGCAACTCTCCAGTAAATATTGGGTTAACAACAATCTCGAGTCCGTTTATCAGGAAAACATTCAGGAAACAATATCGATGGAAATGGGAAGATGGTTATGGGAACTGTGACAGAAGAGTTCGCTAACCTCTGAACATTCTCTTGTAGCAATGCTTACACTCTTTTTAGCACGTTCACTTGAATAAACACTTTGCAGTGCACTATTTTGTTGATTTTTCTTCAGGAATTCTATCTAAAATTAATATAAATGGAGTATGAGTCATTTCTTTGCACGTTTTTCCTGTTCCCGTCAAGCTACGACCTTCGCGATGGTCATCACTCAGGTAACCGAAACCACAAGCTTAAGTCCAACTTTCATTAGGACAGCACAAGAGAAAGACGTAAGCCTAAGCTTTGCTCTAAGGGCTATGAAATCAGTCCCAACGTCTTAAAAGTAATTTTCTATGGAAATTAGAATCAGGATGAAACATGCAAATTTACTTTCAGTTTACTTGAAGTGTATGGCACTAGTAGTGAAAACTCTTGATAGCAGGAAGTAAGAAAAGTTTAGAGAACAATTATTAAGCCATAAATTAGTTTGAAATTTTGTTGAAAAACAGGCACAAGGAATATTAAGTAAAAGTTTTTGTTGAGTTTCTTGTTGAGTTACAAAGTGAGCAGCATGAATGCCAACTCAGTACCGTTTTTGAAGCGGTGAGGGGAGTTTGTTGTAATGTTATTAAATCATCGAGGTCATCTACTTAAGGACTTGGTATGGCTACTCGTTTTCGTTTACATGACTCGTCATCAAATTTGATGTGTGGATCCCAGCACTTCTTGTATTCGATTCGTTTTTCCTCCCACACATCGTCCACGATGGTCTTCAAACATTTCGCTTGTTGTTTCAGCTGCTGGTTGAAAGTTTCGTTTTCATTGTGAATGTTGTGGAAGTCTGGTTAAGTCGATTCTCTTTACAATCATGGAAATAGCCGGGCTAAGGTGTTCTGACGTGGAGTGAAGGAATGCGCTGGGCGGAGATCGAACTAGCATGTTTGCTTCTTGATTGACGACATCACTAACCACTGCCCTATCTACGACGTGACTATTACAGAATTAATCTTTTCAGATCGAATTGTGCTGCGCACAAACTTTTCGCTAAGACGATACCTGTTTCATTGCGATTTCTGCAACATCTGGTGCCATGTCAGACGCATCACGATATGCTTCACCCGATGGGCACTCAACAAGAAAACGTATCTGAGAGAGAACGAACAACTATTTAGAAGGAATTATTTGTAAAATCAAAGATGTACAAAGGCATCTGTTTATCGTAAATTCTTATAAATAAATTTCCAGATCATAGAACAGAATTCTTTCGAAGTTGGTAAACAATTTATGACGTTGTCCGCCGATTCGAATCTGGTTCGTTAATGTGGTCTCCATTTCCACAAGAAGAAATTGAGAAGACGCATCTTTCACACTTTCAAGTGATCGGAAGGAGTGGGGAGACGAACTACGATTTTTGATTCTCGATTACTATTATCATTTCTTGGCTTACTTGTCGTCCTTTCACGACTGCTTCCGTGATGTAGTACTTGAGCATAGTCTTACTAGCTACTGGCTTATCATTTACTTCACTGAAAAATTTGAAAACTTCACTTCGAAAGGTATTGTATGGGATTTGCCTTTCATTGTTATTGGTTATGGTAGAAGTTATCATATTACTTACGTGTTGTTTATTTTAAAATATTCGACGATAATGGAGATTTCATCCGACTGGCAAACACTTTCGAAGTTAGAAACAAAGAGAAATTTTGTATGAAGCCTACTATTTTTGCAGATTTTTGTAATAAAATAGCCAAGCCTCATTAACGGAATCTACATGGCTTAAGTTTTCTCTTAATAATATCAGTAGTGTGAAGTTTCTTAGTTTTAAGAGACCTAAGATGTGGGATGAACCACCTGGAAGCACCATATCGAACCCATCTCAAAACTCAGGAACACTGTCAACCATGGTGAGGTAGCAAACTCAGGAGTTCACTCAAGAGTAAAGCTTCATAATCAGCAAAAAAAAACTATGATATAGGAAGTTGATCAGCAAATGTACGTTTCTGTACCGTTGGTTTCCTAAACTGTCTATCGAGTATACTAACCGGATGACATCGCCTGGTCGCAGATGCACTGCCGCTATGCTCGCATAATCCACATTGTGTACCTTGAAGATGTGTTTTGTTGCAAAATCGTGGAAACATGAGTTTCATTTACGCTTGATTTAGGTTGATAACTTATCAGTTATTCTTTTTCCAAGCATTTTTGGTAGCTAAGCACTAGGAAAACAAATGACATTCGATGAAACTCTATATGATTCAAACGATATTCGTCTACATACACTAAGATTGATTCATTTATTTTCACTGATTTAGTTACCATGCTGGGTGTTAGGACACGTGTAGGGTAGTTCTGAAAGTTGTCCTGCGATACAGAAAAAGTCGTGGTCTCGACTAGGCACCCCTGCGAACCGAGCTCTCCATCTCTTCTGGGTTTGCAAATTGGTATCAGAATTGTCTGAGAGGATGAAAACATCTACTTTGCACAAGGATAAGCTTTGGAAAGTCATTGTATAGGCCAAATGAGTATTCAACTAACTCTACGATATCTACGATACCACAAACGTAGTCGAATTCATGGCGTATATATAGAGAACTGAACTGAGCACCCAGCGCAGAAAGCACTACCCTTTAGTTATAGGCGCCTGTAACCTAGTGATCGGAGGAGCCCCACAATACATACATGGGAACGATCCCCCTCCTGTGGTTCACCAAGTCTTCCATCTCTCCAGAGTCAGCAAATTGGCACCAGACTTGTCTGGGAGGATAGCAGCAGTGACTTAATACATTGGTAGGAGAACGCGAGTCATTGTAAAGACCAGATATGCATTCAATCACCTCTAGCGATGCTTCATAAAGTCGAATACATGGTTCATCCCTCAGAGATTGATCAACGCCGGCAGATTTGTCCTTTATGAGCTTTATTGCAGTTGTTGATTTTTGAAGACGACCTCACGTATTTAATACGATTTCTTTGCCTCTTCGTTTACTATTTTCGATTAGTGACGTTGTCAACAATTCATGTTTAGTTAAAAATTGTAGCCCAACCTGTAATCGTTCCCTTGCGTCGTATTTCACGTGTAGACCCAATTGAACGCTTGATGATTCAGGAGCGCTACACATTTGAATCACTATCTACAATGCACAGAGTGCCTTAATACTTTAATACCTATACCTTAATTACTTCACTCTAAGAAACCACGTAAACTGACTAATCCCAGACAGTCACTCTTCTTAGTAATCATAAAAAGTTTAGACCGACCTGACAATTATCTCTGTTAGCTTTTCTATCGTCCTATGCTTTGTTTCTCGTACAAAACCTTTGAGATCCACATAATTTAAAGCTATCTTCCTCACATAATAAAGATCAATCGGTCTTCCGGTAACTTTCTCGGTATCTTTATCCATTTGAATTCGTTCCAGTGTCGTACATCGATGCTGACACCATGACCACATTCCATGTCTAATCTTTACGGCAACTTTCTAAAATCAGATTTGAAGAGAACACTCAGACTTTGAATTTGTTTCTCTTGGCTAATTTCTGGATAGAATTGGTCGAAGTCCTAGTTATTTATAATCGCCAAAGTTATTCAAGATACTTGATATCTGCAGATGATCATTCTCATCTTCAAGTTCATTTATTTGGGTTCTTTAAATAGTACCAAGATTCCCATTTTGTTAGACTGTCTTTGCTTTGGACTGTTACACTAACTTTATTTTCACATAACCTTCAGCTCATATCGGATGTATTGTAAGCTGCGATTCATCCGTTTACTTCAAATAAACCACATCGTCGTACCTGTGTAGGTTCTCTCAGTTTCTGGAATAGTTCACCAATACTCTTAATAATCTGGCCATCCAATGCAACAATGATGTCGCCAACAAAAATCTTTCCAATCAGTGCCGAGTTGCCGTCGATATGAGTGAACTGATTGTAATATCCTCAGTAGTACTAGTTTTCTCGTTTCTCTTGCAATTTGAAATGTCCTGTCACCTTATCGTTTTTTGACTTCCTGTTTATATAAAACTTTCACCAGTGGTTCACAACATCAGAGTGACTACGTAGGGTTTTTATGTATCGAATTATAATGCCCAACAGAAATTCATTTCTTCGACTGAGTTACCCAAGTGGAGGAATTTGAGATGCGCGTGTAGAAAGCCAGATAGGAGTAAAACAGTGCAGGGAACCGTCACTGTACTGAAGTACACCTAGTCGGCAGCTAGCAACCGATTGCTTATGGTGATAACCAGAGTGTATCATGGTACGAGTGTCTCAGGAGTTCAGGGAAAATCTTGCCAAACCATCAACACACCATTTGAGTAGGATATTTGCTGAGACCTGTACCATGCTCCGTGACAGGCTATGACCCATGTATGCAAATCTTAAATTTATGGTACTTTTCTTAAGTATCCAACTTACTCGACAGTCACTTTTATGCAGTCGGGCTCCCATAGGCTTTCGAACAACATATGTATCACAATACTCCCTCGGAATGTCTGAAGGCTCAACGCGACCTTCACATGTTGCTTTTTTTCTGTAATGCATCCAGATTAAGGTTTAAATCTAAATGTATTTCTCAAAGACACTGCAAATCATTCAACTTGCGATCTATTATATTAACAACAGGTGAGCAGTCGTGCTCTTCGAAAGGTATAGATTTTGTCCCCGTTAGAGGATGAAATTGGAAGAACAGTGAAACTTAGAGAACGACCTTCGGCGATGACCACGTTGAGTAATTAATTTATACTCGTCACTTCAGTGATTCATTTTTCCACATTTTGAAAATCACATGGCAAGATCTTTTTTTATATAAATGCCATGGTAATACCAATGAATAAAATCAATATCAAAATCGACATAAAATGGCAAAAATGCGCATTTTGCAGCGAGCAGGTAGCGTAGTAGTTGATGTAGTTCATCGCGAGCACTGTTCTGGTTCAACTCCGTCCCAAGCTTACCAAGCCTTGCATTTCTACGGGGTTGGCAAATTGCTAGCAAACTTGTCTGGTAACACCTCACTCTGTAGTTCAAATGGGAACTCTAGCACTGCGATCCCAGGAATCAAAGGAGACTTCTCGACTCGACCAGCATTCAAGGACATTCATAGAGAAGACGACAACCCAGAAGTAGCAGCAGCAGCTCCATGAGTGATAAACAGATATACCTTTTTATTTTCTGCCTACTATAATTTCGCGGCAAGGTACTAAGCGAAATACAACCACAACGTTGCTGAGATATTTGCAAAACTCTGGACCGCAGGTGTCTATGGTGGGGAACGAACGCGCTATTGTCCTTTCCGGGGAGTAACGCGCTCACCACCACACCATGCGGGTCCTTTGCTTCGCCTGTCTCCCAGATATTTCTATCGATCTTTGCCACAGCAATCACCCGTCAGCATAGCATTGATAAACAGACAATTTTAAGCAAAAACCTCCTTCTGTCATAGCTGTATCGTGAAAGAAGTTAAGAACTCACAGTGTAAGTGGTGTTGTCCTTCCCTCTTTCGATGCCGTTTTGCCCGATCTGAAATAATCCTAGTTATTGCTGCAAACTACCTCGATTGTTCATTCTACCATGCCGCTCGAGGCCATAAAAATGTAGCTCCAAAGTAAAAGGTGATATCCGTCGGTTTCAGATTCGCTATAAAATGGGTTGGCCTCCTTAGTGTGAATTCGATGTCGTCGTTGTTTTTAGTTGCACTCAAACACTACTCTTCACTCACTAGTGCTAAAAGTTATGTCACTAGAATCACGTTCTCCTAGTGATTTCAGTCTGACATATATATATATATATATATATATATATATAGTCAGACATATATATATATATATATATATATATATATGTCAGACTATATATATATATATATATATATATATATATATGTCAGACTATATATATATATATATATATAATCGAAATCAAAAAGTTAAGCGACTTCGGAGAGCAGAGCATTAAGGGTATGTGGTTCCCTCAAGGGTGCTAATTCTAATTGACCTCACTAGCTGCTGGTCGTTCTATAACATGCAAAGAAAATCGTTCAGTAGGAAATAGCAACTATACAAAGCCGGTCAGAAAATGCACTGACTGCTGAGCCTAACCGTGTGTGAAAGCTGCCGTTCATCTTTGATCCTACATTTGATGATAGGAAGTTAGCGATCTCTTAAATGTTTATGTCCTATAAAAAATCGCTATTTTCAACTGACAGTTTATGGCTCACAGAGGCCCAAAATTATTTCCAGTTATGGAATATCAATGCATACCAGGCCGTTCTTACCGTTAAAATAATTACCTGAAATACAAATGATAAAGCTTTTATTCCAGAATATGGGAGTTACACCATATCAGGAGCGTATTCGTCTTGTAAAAAGTGGTGAGCAGCAAAACCTCTTCCAATTAACATGAATAGAGAGGATACCGTTCATTTCAGATACGATAAGATAAGAACGGTATTTTCAGGAGCCCAGAAGGAAAAGATTGCACAACTAGCTAAATTTAATCAAATGGAAACCATGCTGGGACTCGCAAAAGACGTGAATACTGTTCATCTAAGTAGCCAAGTGAGTGTTAGGCTGTTCGAAAATTAGTATCAGATTGGTAATATCATTCCGGCTTTGACTATCTTCTTCGTTTATGCGCCGACATTAAATTACGACGAAGTAGAACTCGAAGCGTCGTAATATGGGCTTGGACGAGTTCTACAGAGAAGACCGTACCTTCTTCAAGGTCATCAGTGGAGATTTTAACGCCAAGATTGGGTCAAGAAGAACGTCTGAAGAACGTCACATTGGAACCCACGGATTAGAATGGATCGAACAGGGTGAGCGGCTATCTGAGTTTATCATGGCGACTGACGATAACTTACAGTGGCCTACCGATCTATCGAACCAGTGCTACTATTCTCTCAGACAAAACTGATACCAATCTGCCGACTCCGGAGGAATGGAAGGCTTGGTGAGCCTGGGCGCAGGGATCGATCTCATGTGTATTCCAGGTGGATACCGACCACTATGCTACACGCGCCCCTTCTGTTACTATTGCGAAAATACCGGTTGAAATTTCACAACGATTTGCGGACCACCTAATGCTATATGATAGACGTGTTGATTGAGGAAATGGAAAGGAATCGCATCTCCAAAGCATCCTTTGTGAATTTTTATGATTCTCTGGAATGCTGAAGCAGTTAAAATACAAATGCATCAGACACGAGGAATTCACCGTCGGATGGAGATCACATTTGATGGCCGCAATCGATCAACAATCGTCTTGTATAAAAGGGTACTGCAGATGGAAGATCCCCATTCAACCGGCACTCCCTCTATCGGTATCGATTAAATGACGCTACGAAGGACAACGATAAACTGCGGAACTTCATTTCGGACTAACGGTGCTACGAAGAAAGCGAAGACGTTTCACTACCAATTTTCAGGTTCGATACGAACTCCTTAGACGTAGGCATCAGCACATAGGGCATGACTTTTAATCTTGGACAAATTTTTGTGCGAGGCTTACCCAGTTGTCGGAGACTGAGATGATGATGGTTGCATTTTGTGCGATTACATTAGCAAATGGTACTATCCTTCCTGAAATCCACTTGCTTATCCTAAGTATAAACATATTTCCTCATATCATGTATTGTTCATGGATAACATTGAGTGTAGTATAAAATATGTTTTTCTTTTTTAATTGAGCTTCAGATTCTACAACCACTATGAAAACGCAGTGATTAGAGGAGTCCTGCAATACACATGGGATCGGTCCCCGCGACCCAGGCTCAAGAAACCTTCCATCCGTCTGGGGTCGCAAAATTGGTCCCAGACTTGTCTGGAAGGATAGCAGCACCGACTCGATACATCGATAGGCAACCATGAGGCATTGTACAGACCAGGTGTGCATCCAATAACCCCTAACGACGCTTAATGAAGTCGAGTGCATGGCGCATCCCTCAGTGATTGATTAACGCCGACAGCTTTATCGTTTATCGTTTGTACGTCTGCAAAAGTTCAGATGACCCTGCATTGCTTTTTTCAAACGAATAGCGATTTGGGATCTTTAGCACCTAATGCATTATAGCGATGGAGTGCACCACCTCATGTCTGCCTGCTCTTGCTGAGAAAAAAACCAGCTTAATGCTGATTAGAGCGCAATTTCGATCGGACTTCACTTCCACGACAGCAGTGAGTTGTGTCGCTAGGCCACTCCTGTCTGAATATCCAGACGTAGTACGTGGAACTTCGTCTCAATTGTCTTATTTAGTGAAATCAACAAGTCTGCCACTTCAAAATGAAATTTGGCATCATGAACAACTCTCTCGATATGAGAAGTTACTTTAAGGGTCTGGACGCAGCACTGCTTGATTTCCAACAGTTTATTTGAACTAAAGTGTTCAACAACAAAGAAAAATAGTGTTAGCAGAGAATAGTATGACATTTGTAATTGTTCCACTCAGACAGCAAACAATCTTGTCAAAAATATAGATTTCTAAAAAACAGATCTCTCTTGCTCTTCAAGACATGGGATATACTTCAAGGCGATTGAACAACCGACTAGGAAAGTCATCAAGAAGTAGACGTTCAGCAGACGCCGGCTCATCATCTGAAAATTCGCCGAGAATAGAAGTCCTCAATCACAATGACTAGGTTTTTATACTGGTAGAAATCACAGCCACTGTTCCACACCAATTCAAGAGTCCGCAGGAATAGTGGTGTTCTGACACACTTTACCAAATGATGAACCCACCTTTGTGCCCGATCGATTATTGTATTATTATTGTATCGATTATTGTGAAGTATGCGAGAGAATGGTGTAAGATCTAACTCGCAGCTCTTTAAATACCCACCATTTGATAACGTCTTGTTGTTTTCTTCATTATGTGCTTACGTGCTACAACTTGCTTATCAAAACTTATCATACGCAACTCTAGCAGCTCGGCGACTAAAGCGGTTGGTTCCATGTGAAAGGTATATAAGAAATTTTTGAGCCAACAATAACATTAGTTGCTCTCTTTCTACACGAGCAGGATAAGCGGACTGCAAAGCGGAGGCAATATTTCTTCATGGGAACGTGGAGGACTTCACTCAACAATCTGACCTACTTAATGAAAATAGCAAGCATCCTCAGAATTGTTGTCATATAAGCAACAATGTCATTGCGCGGTTTGATGTGTCTATTTTGTTCATTGTTTACTAGTCTGACGATGGCAACTCCTCTCACCATTTCCCGCTCTATAACTTTTTAATTAATCGCCTCTGTGACCCTAGAAATCCTCCCTCACAAGCTGCTCTCCTCAATTCTTTTTAAAAGTAACATCATTTTCTATCGAATTCTGATTACTCCAACATAACGGTAAGCTTCATCGAGAAACGAATAAATGCCGCCGTGAACTACATTCTCTACAACCGCTATTGCTTATGACTTGATACTTGATACTTGAACGGCCCGTCCTCACTAGTCGTGCGGTCCCCAGCATAATCACCACGTTTCGGAGATTTGCTGATTAAGCCATTGTGGTTCCCTGGAATCCCGAGGTCAGCCTGGCCAAAGTT